CTGGATGCCCGGCGTGACGCCCCCCAGCGGGCGCTTCACGCCGGCCTGGGCCACCAGGGCGCCGGGCGCCGTGGCGCCACCTCCCGCAGCCCGAGGACGACGACGACGACGACCCGAATTTCCGACGTCGCGTTTCTTGCTCAACTTTGGCGCATTTTCTCGACTTTGCCCTCAGAAGGCGGCTTGCGGACCCCGGGGCCATGTGAAAACGACCTGCGGATAGAATCCGATCCTAGAAAAGGGCCTCAGGGCTCTGGAGCCCAAGGTTCGGAAAAAATCACGACGGCGGGGGTCCATGGACGACGACAGCATACGACGGTCTCCTTGCACATGACTGCGCACGTAGAAGTTTGGGGCAAACCCCGACCTCAGCGGTTGCACATGACTGCGCACGTAGAAATTTGGAGCAAACCCCGACCTCAGCGTAGACCCGCATTCGTAGCCCTAGCGCAGCACACGCGTTAGAGGGGAATGCAACGCGTCAGATTTACAAACCTACTAGGGCATGCATGCATGCTCCTGACTGCCGCACAATATTTGGCACGCTGAGAGAAAGCCTTGACTGCAGCGAAGCCAGTCCAGCCTCGCAAGTACAGAAACTCAATTGATTAGACTACCGGTATGAATCTACCCCCGTGCCTTTGAGGCACGAGTTGGAGTGTCCTCAGGTCCTTTATCCATGGGATTGCTGAAGGGACCCAGACCCCGAGTTCATAAATCTCTCGGGCCGCGTCGCGTGGGCCCTGGGCTCCTGAAGTGTTCCCGCAGGACTTGTTCGGGTCCGCGAGGACCCAAAGACGGGCCCAGAGGGCCCGCAGAGACCGGCAAGACGGTCCAAGAGAGCCCCGAATCGCTGCACGATCGGTCCAAGACGCCCAAGATGGTCCCGAAACGGCCCAAGAAGCCTTCGAGGCGCCCCGAGAGCCCCAAAAGCCTTCCCAAGAGGGCTGCGAGAGGCCAAAATCATTGAGCGCTCGAAAGTTTTGAATGAGTTCGGGATCCTCAATTGCTGGAGCTTCATGCTCCAAGACAGCCCAAAGAGCCCCAAAGATCGCCCCAAGACATCCCAAAAGGCCCCCCAAGAAAGGCCACCAGAAGGCACAAGAGGGCCCCGAGACGGCCCCAGAGGCGCCCAGAACGGCCCAAGAGGACCCCAAGCCGGCCCCAAGAAGGGCCCGAACGGAAAATTCGAGCCTTCGGCCCCAAGAAACCCCTGGGAGGCCCCAAGGAGGCGCCAGGCGCCCCCAAGAGGCCTCAGGAGACCCCCACGAGGCGCCCAAGACGCCCCCCAAGGGCCCCAAGACAGCTCCCAACAGCCCAGCGTCTAGAACGAAGGCAGAATCTTGGCACCTGGTCCGGCCAAGCACGCCCTCCCCCTCCCCCTCCCTTCTCCCTTCTCCCTCGGACACGCGCCAACACGGGTGAGGGACCCGTGGATCTGGCGCAACGGCGCCAGATCCATGGTTGGGGTAAGACACCTCCCGCACATGATGATCCCAGCTCCGCTCGGTTCGGCGACAGCGCGCGCCGATTCTACATGGAAGCAGGACCGTCGCTAGTCCACCATCCTGAATACAGGTCCACGTATGCGATTCCTCGGCTCCCGCCCCCTTCCCTCCTCTCCAAACTAGACACTCCGATTCTGAATGGAAGCAGGACCCGTCGCTAGTCCACGATCCAGAGTCCATATACGCGATTCATCGGCTCCCGCCCTTCCCCTCCTCACCTTAGCATGGAGAGATCGAGTCCCGAGGGAAACGGGTCCTGGACCCTGGTGCCTTCCCTCAGGACGAGCTTTTCATCCTGAATCGTTTCCGGAGAGCCCCCCGGGGCCCGTGGAGGGCCCCAGGAAGCCAAAATCGCCTAACAACCTCAGGACCCGCTTCCCTCAAGACTCGCCTCCATCCCCAGAAGAAGAAAGAGAAGAAGAAGAAGAAGAAGAAGAAGAAGAACAAAAAAAAAAAAAAAACGCCATAACTATAAAATTGTTTGGTGCTCCGCGCGGGTTTCTTGGATCTGCGCAGATCCAACATCCAAGAAACCCGCTGGGGAGCACAGCGCAGATCCAAGAGACCCGCGCGGAGCGCCAAACAAGTTTGTGTGTATGGCGTTTTTTTTCTTCGGCTCGTGGCGATCGCCTCAGCAGGGGGCGCCCAAACATGGATTAGCGATCCATGGATTTGGCGCGCGGACGCCACATCCATGGATCGGGGGAGGTGCCCTCCCCGAAATGCGGCCAGTGCCGCCTCGCTCGGCGGCGGAACTCCGCGATTTCCCATGGAAACCGGATCCGTCGCCAATCCACGCCCCCTTGATCCATGCTTGCGATGCCTGATTCGGCACCTTCCCCGCTGGCGACGCGCACAAGGGGGTAGGGGGAAGGGGGAAGACTTCTTAGGAGGAGGCCGCTTCTTAGAAGACGCCGGCCCTTATCTGCAGGCAAGGCACGCGCCCTCTACGAAGCATGGGTGCTTCTGAGAAGCTTCCCCCCTCCCCCTACCCTTAGAAAGTCCAGGTTGCTCCAGGGGGAAGCCAGTTCCTAGCGAACCCTAGGCTTTCTAACCCTACCCCCTTCTTTGAGCAGGGACCGACCGTCCCAGCATTCCTATAGGTCTCCCACGAAATGTCCTTAGAACCCCAAGTGTTCTTAGAACAAAAACAATGTTCTCAGAACATACACCCGACGTGTGAAAACAAGACCAGCCAGAAATGTTCTAAGAACATTTCGTGCAGACCACAGCTAGACGAGGGCGTTCCACTACTCGCAAAGGCACTACTCGCAAATGGCCTGGATCCGCCGCGAGGGACCTACTATGAATTACATCGAAGCAGACACATAGATTTGTTTCGGACGACGTCTGCGAGTAGTGGAACGCGCGCGGCGCACAACATGTCTCGAGAACATTCCCTGCTGGGCCTACAGGCGAGCCAGGACGCCTCGCCGCTGCTCGACCTCTGCGCGTGGCCGACTCCCCGGAGAACGGGGCGGACCGCCCCTCCGTTGGCCGCGGGCGCCGTGCCGGCCGCGGGCTCGGGCTTGAGCGGCCCCCAGGCCTCTCGCGCGCGGCGGAGAGGGAGGCGCCGGCGCGGCGCCCCTCCGGAGAGGGGACGAACGAGCGAGCGAACGCCTGCAGTCGTGCGTGCTCCTCTGGGGGGAGCGCACCCGTGCCCAGGAAGGCATGGCGTGGAGGCCGTGGCCTCGACAGGAAGGTCCGCCATGCAAACTTGTGAGGCGTGTGCCCGCTCAGTTGACGACCACCACTCTGGGCACACAGCGCGGCCCCCTCCGGAGGGGGGGGGGCCGAGGGCGGAAGGCCCCCGAGGTCAGGTCGGGCGTGTCCTTCTGCGGGCGGGGTCTGGAAGAAGAGCAAAAAAATCGGGCGTTGCTAGAAATACCCCTGGCCCAAGGTGCCCCCAGGATTCTCGGGGGTGGCCCAGCCGGCCTCCAGGGCACCCCTCACGAGGCCCAGAGGGCCCCACGGGGCTCCAAAATGGAGCGAAAAGCTGGGGGCACCTTGGGCCGGGGGCACTTCTAGCAACGCACGAAAAATAGTCACAACAACCAAAAAAACTGTCGACTAAAATCGTCCGCTGACGATTTGTTGACCATGTTTGAATGTTCCTCCTGTAGAGGGACATGCCCGACTGAACCTTGAGGTTACGTCGGGCATGTCCTCCTACAGGCGGACGTTGGAAGACAATGGCCAAAACAACGGCAAACAGATATACCGCAAAATAATCAAGAACGGTCGAAAACTCACCCCCACACTATTCTTTGGGGCCACGTTTGAGCGCTCCTCCCGTGCAGGGGGCATACCCGACTCAAGCCCAGGACCGTTCCTCGCCAAGGGGGCACCAGCGCCTGCGAGATCTACTTGGCGCCCGTGCCGAATCACTGCTTGGGGAGTAGCCCCTTCTTCATTTGGCGAGTCGCGTACCGACTTGTTCCCTAATTGTTCTTAATTTGGCGAGTCGCTTCCCTTACCGAGGGTCCCTGTCGAGCGGCTGGGGCGAGCCAGACCGGGAGCTGCGACGATCGGCACTCCGTGCCCAGCGCTCGGGCCCTCGCGGCACGGGGCCGCTCGCCGAGAGAGCCCGAGGAAGGAAGAAAAAGAGAGAAAGGCTGGGCCTGCACGCGGCTGCGCCGTGCTGCCTGCACGCGGCATGCTCGCGCGCCAGACGCTTCAGAAGTGGTGGGCCCGTGTTCCACCACCACCACCCAAAGTTGGAGGGGGGAAGGAGGTGGAGGACGAGGAGGAGGAGGAGGACGAGGAGGAGGAGGAGGAGGAGGAGGAGGGAGGAGGAGGACGAGGAGGAGGGGAGGACACCCTCCCCCTCCAACTGATGGTTGTGGTGGTGGTGGAGGACAGGCCCGTGAAAAGAAAGCCCCCAGGAGCCAGGACCTCTCCGATCGGGAAGCCGGGTCGTGGCGCGCACGGCCTGTGCTGCTCTGCCTCCGGAGGCCCCCCCGGGCGCGGGCGCGTCCAGAAAGGGGGCCCGCGGAGGCCTCCGCGGAGGCCTCCGGAGGGCGGGCCCTGCGCCCGGGGGCCAGCCGGGGGGCCACGAGGGCCTCACGGGGGGGGGGAGGCTGGAAAAGTGTGAGGCGCGCACACGCTTCGTGCGGCTGCCTGCCAGACGACCCCCAGCCCAACCCGAAGGCCCGAGTTTCGGGTTTGGGGGGGGGTACGGGTTCCAGAGGTGTGCTCTTTTGATGTGCCCCGACCCCCCCCCCCCACTGGAAAGGGAGGGCGAATTGAAGCCATCGGGTTGGGTTGGGGTGGTTTGGCGGGTGGTGAGTGTGGTTGGTCGGCCTCCAGCAGGGCCCTCGTGGCCGCGGCCAGACGCGGCTCGGAGAACGGGCCAGGACGCCGTCCACAAGGGGTCCGGGGACGGAGTTCGAGCGAAAGCCGATGGGCCGACCGAGACCTCCAGGCGTCGCTGGGGAAGAGCATCTAACAGCCCCCCACCACCACCCCAAAAAAACTCTGGGGAACCATCTGGGGCCCAGGGGCTGTCAAGGAACAGCCCAGGGTGGAAGAACGGTCCCAGGGGCGCGGTTGGGAGCTCGGGAGGGCCCTGAGACTGAGGCTGCGCCTATAGCGTCCCAGGGGGGACGGCCCTGCGCGGGGCTAGGCGGTGGCGCCGGGGCGCTGGAATCAGATTATATACGTCGTCCGGTGCGGAACGCGTACGAATCCTCCATACCTTGCCATACTTGGAGTGTCCGTCACAGTGGATCCCCACTCTTGTGTGCCAGTATCACGTACACATGCAGCCAGGTTGAGAGCTCAGGAGGGGCGACTCGCAACGAACGCCACGGTAGATATCCTAGCCATGCCTCGCCTCCTCATTCCCCCTTCCGGGCGATATGGCGCGGCCGTGGTGCCTGCACTGCTACGGCACAGAACCGATACGACAGCGGCTCCTGGCGCCGCTCGTCATGATCCCGACCCCTGATCCCGCATCTGGATCGCCGACCCAGCAGTCCCTCCGTCACGCCCCCACCCCGTTCTGTACCCGATGCGCCCTCCCGCGAAGGTCGCGAACCCTCGAAGCCATCTCACTGTAGCAGAGTCATACGCAGGCCAGCGCTGCGGTCGCTGATCTGCATTATCGAACGCAGAAGGCCCCGCGAATCTGGCCACCCTCCCCACTTGCACAGCAGTGAGCAAATGGTCTACAGGTGCATGCGCACTGCAGGGATGCCCTTAAGTCACGCATTTGATCGGCTGAGCACGAGCGACAGCTAGCCGAGATAAAACGAAAAATGGAGCATGAACCATAGACGCCAGGAGCATGGAACGTTCGCTGTGAATCATGAGCGGATAAGGAACAGGGGCGGGCTGGCCATTGCTACAAAAGCATCTCGAACGAGGCGGCCAAAACCAAAGAACACAGTCACACACATCCAATGTTGAAAACACGAAGCTCCGTTCGGGTCTTGCTTGCGCCCAGTTCCACGTACACGAGGAAAGCGCCAGGGGAGACCCGTGGAGAAACGTAGGCTCCTCTCGAGACCAGAGCGAGCCCTACCTTAGAGATGTTTGACTGCACGAGGCTGCGTTGCAGACAGGAGGACAACCACTCTGGCGACGATCGGTCTGGGCCGACTCACGGAGTAAGAATTTCGAGGAGACCACCTCGCGGGCGAGCAGACAGCGCAGCGCGAACTCTGAGGACAAGCGCCGAGGGCGTGACCGGCCCACGAACATCGCGCAGCATTCACATGGAAAGAAGCGCGGCAACCGTGCTCCGTCACCGACCTTGGCCATGGCCGCCCTGACCCTGGGATCGGTGCACGCGTCCCCATGGATTGGCAAGAAGGCATACACGCGATCCGACTCTGGGATGGGCCTGGCAAGGATTGGTGGTCGGCAAGCTTCTGCCTTCACGACGTCGGCCTGGCTGTCGAACACCGCGTGAATGCAATGCTCAAATTTACACGATCTCCTCTGCTGGGCCCCCCCTGGGGCTGTCGAACACGTGGAAGATCTCGGTGGCAACCCATACGCGGTCGCCGTCGCCGCCCCGTCGCCATCTTGTCGCCGCCCGTTTTCTGGGCCTCCCCGTCTGTTTTGCGGCTATGTGGTCGCCGTCGCCGCCGTGCCGCTCTGGGCCTGCCCGTCGGTGTGGCGGCAATGTGGTCGCCGTCGCCGCCCAGTCGCCGTCTGGGCCTGCGTTAGGTTGCATTACGTCGCGTCACGTTGCATTGCATTCCAATGAGTTGCATTGCTTTTGTTGAGTTGAGTTGCACTGCTTTACATTGGCGTTCCTTGCAATGCATTGTGTTGCTTTGCTTCGCGTTGCATTGCTGTGCATTGCGTGCGTGCATTCCTGCGCATTGCATTCCATTGGGTTACAGTGTTTTGCATTGTTTGGCATTTCGCTGCATTGGTATGTATTGTGGTGCATTGCATGTACCACCTAGATGAACATGCTGGCTTCGAATAGTTTGCATCACATAGCTTACATCGAATATATCACACCATAGATTGCGCTGGGTGGACTGCGCCTCTTGGATTGCACTACGACGCTTGCACCAATGAAAGCGCACAACTCGGATTGCACCGCATAGATCACATCACGTAGATTAGCACCACACAGCCTGAACCAGATATCACACAGAACATAGCTTGCACCACATACCCTGCACCACGCAGATTTCGCCAACTAATATGCTAGAAACCACGGTGTGGGCTCCACGCTGACTAATACGGTAGTGATTGTATATTCATGTCCTACTATTATTACGCGTCCTTCTCATCCACCACATCATCGTCATCATCAGCAGCATCATCACAATCATACGCATCATCATTGGCAGCAGCATCATCACAACCACCATCATCATCAGCAGCAGCCTCATCAGCATCATAATCATCATCATCATCAACATCAACCTCGTCATCAACATCATCACCATCTTCATCATCAACATCATCATCAAAATCAATATCGGCGTCCGTGCCATTCTCATATTTCCACTATCGTCATCATGGTGATCCGTCTCAACACCACCACTATAACCACCATCGTTGACCAACATCATCAACACCATCATTCTCGTCATCCTAATCAGCTCAGCCCTGTCCGCTGGTTCACGACAGTCACAATACTGTTCCTCGCCATTGCCGTCATCAACACTACCATCGCAGTCACAACATCAACACCAGCATTACCACCATGATCCCTCACATCGTCCTCTCAATCATCAGCCTTCCCAACATCAGCATGGCAGGCGTCATCATCCTCACCAGCATCACAATCATCAACACCTCCATCATTACCTCAATCATCATCGCCATCGTCGTCATCATCATCAGCAGCAGCAGTTGCCTCATCAACATCCTCAACTTCATCACCAGCATCAACAACAACAGCATCATAATCATCGTCAGCATCATCATCAGCATCACCATCACTATCATCAGCAGCAGCAGTAACAGCATCGACATCAGAATCACCATGCTCTTATTACCATCACTATGACCATGAACATGATCATCAGCATCATCATCATCATCATCAGCAGCAGCAGCATCACCATCATCACCGTCGTCATCAGACTCACCACCGCCACCTTCCTCTTCCTTGTCCTCCCGATCCTCTTCACCCTCCTCCTCGTCCTTCTGCGACTCATTCTCCTAGTATTATCCGCCTTCTCACCCTCCTCCCCAGCCCGTCCACCCGTCTCCTCATCCTCTTCTTCCTGCCTTCTGCCTTCACGCCTCGTCCTGGTCCTGGTCATCCTTCCCATCCCCCAGGTCACCCCCCTCCACCCCAAGCCCCGACTCCCCCTCCCCGGTGTGCAAAACGGATCGATCCAACTCGCCAGCACGGCGCCCCTTCTGAGCTTCTGCAGCGACGCGACGAGGAGTGGCGTCGAGCTCTTCCGCACCCCCCTTCGCATCGCCCTCCCCGACCCCGTGCCTGGAGAAAGAACGAATGCAAAAACATGAATCGTTCGACGGCCCGTACGGACTCCCTGGATCGGCGCCAGGGACCCGCTTCCCTGGCACGCGGAGCGCACTAGGGGCGGCGGCAGAGGCGCCGCCAGGGGGGCCCAGGCGCTGATCCAACAAATCCGCGCGCAGTTTATGTTCATGCAGCTGTTTCCTTCTTCGACTGCCACCCCCTTTGAGGAGCAACGACAGGGGGGACTGGCATAGGGGGGGACACACCGACCTAAAATCGGCAATGCATCGCCGATAGATCGGCGAGAGGGCCCAGATAGTGAACCCCAACGTTCCTGCATACGTTCGGGTTATCAGGCCCCCATCGACGATGAATGGGCGATTGGGGGTCGATGCCGTCCCTCCTTACGCCTCCCCCCAATCGTTGCCCCTGACCCCCCCCCCAGGTCCCCCCTCGAAGGCAGAGCGCACCTCGGTTTTCTCGCACTCCTCCACGTACTTCGCCAGCTCCTCGCCAGCCTCACCGCCGCGGCCGCCGACGCAGCCCCCCGCGCGGAGGCGGGGGGGGCGCCGCTCGAACGTGGCGGGGGGGGGAGAGAAGGAGGAGGAGGAGGAGGCTAGAACAGAGGGATGAGGATGCAAGGCATGTTTTTCAATATCCTGGGAATAACACGCTGTGTATAACACGCGAGAAACACAGGCAAGGAAGGATTTCCTCCAGGATCCGACGGAATTACATGGCAGCGGAAAGGGAAACAATTAATAGAGACGGGAAGCGCAAGGCACCAATCGACCTTGGTGCTCAAACGAGTCTGCCCGTGTTTCGCCGGCTCAGGAGCACAAACTACACATAACCCAACGATGCAAAAGAGTGCGCTACGCAGAGAAGACCTTCTGCCGGCCAGGTCCCTCATCGGAAAAATTGCGTTGGTGATCAGGGCGGGACACTGAGGATCATCTTCTATCGGACACCCTCCTTTCTTCCAAAAATACTTCTATACTAAAAAATGGCGGCGGTTGACTATTCGGATGGAGCGCACGATCACGCGCGTGCCCCACTGTCGGACGCCTGCCTTTCGTGGAGAAAAACATATCACTGGTGTGCCTCGTTGTTGCTTGCATCCCTATGCACAAATTGCGGGCCACTGAATCCGCCGGCCCCCTTGTGGGGCCACCAGGCTGTAGGCGCGGGTTCGCAGTTTCCAGTACCAGTTGTAGCTTGTAGTTTCCAGTGTTACAGTTATGCTTCTTGCTGGTTACTGTAACTAGTTGACTGTTTGCTGATTGCTGTAACTAGTTGATTGACCGCGCGAGGGGGGGGGAGGCCCAAACAAGACTTTTAGCACCCCCTGGGCGCGTTGTCTGAATTACTGGGGGGGCTCGAAATCGACACCCCTCACGCAGATCCGCGGGGTCAGGGTCCAAAAACACAGGGGATTTGCCACATTTCTGAAATTCGGTGCCACCCTCACGCAGATCCGCGGGGTCAGGGTCCAAAAACACAGGGGATTTGCCACATTTCTGAAATTCGGTGCCACCCCTCACGCAGATCCGCGGGGTCAGGGTCCAAAAACACAGGGATTTGCCACATTTCTGAAATTCGGTGCCACCCCTCACGCAGATCCGCGGGGTCAGGGTCCAAAAACACAGGGGATTTGCCACATTTCTGAAATTCGGTGCCACCCCTCACGCAGATCCGCGGGGTCAGGGTCCAAAAACACATGGGATTTGCCACATTTCTGAAATTCGGTGCCACCCCTCACGCAGATCCGCGGGGTCAGGGTCCAAAAACACAGGGGATTTGCCACATTTCTGAAATTCGGTGCCACCCCTCACGCAGATCCGCGGGGTCAGGGTCCAAAAACACATGGGATTTGCCACATTTCTGAAATTCGAACCCATCACGCACATCCATCGCAAGGCGTGGTAACCCAAACTGCGAGAACTCCCTCGGCCCTTTCATCGCAAGGTGTGGTAACCAAGCCCTTAAACCATACACGTCTTACCAATCGCCAGGTGTGGTAACCCCTCTTGTGATCAATTGGTTTTGCTGATTGCGACTCGGCTTCGCATGAAGTTTCGATACTGCTTCACGACAGCGCCAAGGCCTCATGACTTAGCTCTTCCATGGCCCATTCTCCGAGAGAGGGGGCCGGCGGCAGGGGGCGAAACCCTTACGGATCTCTCTCTGTCTGTAGCTCTCTCTCTCTCTATCTCTCTCTCTCTCTCTCTTTGTCTCCCTTTTCCTGATGGACTGCGCCACACTCGCAAACGTGATTCGCGACGCGCGCGTCGGTCGTCGCACTCGCGAACATAATCTGGACACGAGCCGGGTGGGTTACCAAGTAGCGTCGCCGCTGTCCCTGCTAGGGTCGCCGTGGCGGGAGTTCGGCGCCGTCTTCTCGCGCCGCCCCTCGCCCAACCTCGCTGCGGGGCGCGCGTGGGCGAGCTCCAGATCCATGATGTCGAAGATGAACTCTCGGCCGATACTCCCCTCCGTCATGAGGCCAGCCCACCTGTCGCGGGCATCGCACCACAGGATGTCGGATACCTGTTCGGCGCGATGCTGTTCTGCCATCCACCATAAGTGACCTGCCATGCTATTCCCTGATGGCGGCAGCACGAGGTCCACGGCCAGGGCGGAGAAGACGGACGCGCCGTCCAGGACCAGCTCGGCCAGCACAGCGTAAACCCCCTCCCCCCTCAGCACCCTGATCTCATCTGCTGGGGCGGGCCCATGCGCCGCCTCGTGGAGCGCCAGGAGGAGCGCCTGAGGCTGTCCATTGATCTACGCGCTGCAAGCAGCTCAGGGCCGAATGATAATCGACACACGAGAATGTACGATCGGCCCACAGCGTCGATCAGGTGGCTGATCTGTTCACCAGCACTGCGGCACTTGCCCAACCGCTCGCACACGGCACCACGCTTGCCGAAGCCAGCCTCGTCCTCGCACAAGAACGAGCCGTCGCTGCGCACGCAGATCTGGCCCGCGCACACAATCGCCGGGAAGGCGACGCGCGCCTTGACTTCATGCATGGGCAGAACAACGAAAATGAGCTGCATGGCATGTCTGATGAGCAGCTCGTCCTTGGCCCGCTCGAGCGCGACGACGCAGGCGGCCGCGCGGCGCTGCGCGAACAACGCGCAGGCGGCTACTCCGAGGAGGGCGACAGGAAGGTCCGGGAAGGACCTCTGGCCAGGTCGTCGGCCTCCGCCTCGGCCAGATCGGCGCGCCCGACGGGAATCAGCGCGCCGACGCACTCGGCATGATCGAGCGCCACCGCACCATCGGCACAGCGGTGCTGGTGGACTCCGCAGTTCGTGAAAAGATGCCCTCCTCGACCCGACTGGCGAGTCGGCCGGCGCGGGCCAGGCCCCCTGCGATCTTGAGATCGCCGACGCGCTTCGATAAAACGAACACTAAGTCTAGCCGCCCGCGCCACGGGTGCTGGGCGCCTCATGTTTGACCCCAAGTTCAGGGCCACATGGCATCGGCTTGGCGTTGCACTCTGGCGAGCGCGCAACCATGACGAGCTTCGTGGAGTGAGCTCTGGGCGCGCCCTTGCAGCCCGTGTCCAGATTGACGCAGCGCAGGCACTCGGCCCGCTCGCCCGACGGCGCGCAGCGTGGAACCTGCCGGGGAGCGGGAGCACGGCCAGGCAACAGGGAGAAGTTCACCTCCCGCGGTGTTTCGTCCTACTCCTGCATGTCTGCATCGGCCACGCCTCGCAGGGAAGCCGCCTCAACGCCCGCGGCGACGGGCGCCCAGTCTGGGCGACAGGCCACCCCTGAGGACAGGATGCGCCGGGGCGCTCGTTTCGCCGCGCCCACAAACGCCCCCAGGGCGACGGCGCCCATGATGCGGAGACCTCTCAGCGCCGCGCGGCGCCAGATGACCCCGACCGCTTCGCCGCCAGGCCATTGCGGCGCTTCCATTCGACTGCGCGTCTGGAGCCCGCGCCGTTCCGAGCGCCTTCGAAAGTGACCCGGAACGCGAGATCCTTGAGGACGTCGGCGGCCACCACCTCGGACAGTCTCGACGCCTCCTCTGTGGATGGGAGACCGCCGTCGCACCACCGAGACCTCCACGGCGGCGCGTACTTCGAGCACGGCTGCGGCGGGCGCACCGGCAACATTATTGACCTCGCGGCAGCTCAGGAATGCTTCAATTCCACGAGTTCCCCCCTTTCGTTCCCCCTCTAGCGCCGCGCAGGGAATAGTGGCACAGCGCGTGGATGTGCTGACGCTGCTGCTGCGTCTCCAGGCGCCAGGACCACTCGCGTGGCCGGCGGCCATTGCTGGCGGCCGCGTGCTCGACAGCAGCGCGAACCATCTGCTGGCCGTCGGTGCTCGCCAGCTCCGGCAGCTCCTGGGCCAAATCCTTCGCGCCTCGACCTCCTGGCAAGCGGCCAACATCACCTCTTGCACGCGGCCAGAGAAGTCGCTGTCAGCCACGTGGGGCATTGCCAACCGGGCTGAGGGTGAGCCACCTTCGACGACGCTGGCGGTGCCCTCGGGGGCGTCGACCGTCGACAGCGCCTGGCGTCGGCTGTCAGCGGCTGCGCGTCACCCAGGACAAAATAAGATGAAGCGAGCGCTCTCCCAACGCTCGCCGAGAAGGCTGCGAGCGTCACTCTCGATGCCGCCCAGGTGCAGTTGGCGGACGTCGCTCGCGTTCCGATGGGAACCACCAAATGATCAGCCTGCGGGCGCAGCCCGGCCAGTCGCCCGCAGATTCTTGGCCACGCACGAGACGCACAGCACGAACGCCAGGTAGCTGAGAGCATCTGCGGGACACTTGGCGCAAGGCATCGAGGACATCACGGTGTTGCCGAGCCGTGCTCGAGTGCACTTGGCGCAAGGCATCGAAGACACTTGCCCTGCTCGTCCTCCCAGTGACCGAAGCTCCTGGCCCCTGAGCCCGGCGCGATGTGCTCTACGAAGCCAGGCATGATCGAGTCATGCCGGTGCTCACGTCGCCGAGGACAGCGCCGATGAAGGCCCGTACGTCCTGCAGTCTACAGACCATCTTGGCGTTGCGGTACTTGACCGCAACCTTGCCACTGGCCAGGTCCACAGAAAGGACGCTGCCTGGACCTGCCCAGCCGGACACGCCCTTTGTGCTGGGTTGCCGGTGAATCTTCACCTGATCACCCACTTTGAAGCGCCATTATCCAGTTTATCTGGCGCGTGCCCGGAAGGCGCGGTTAACGCGGGCAGTCTGAGTGGCCTCGATCATACGCAATAGGGCGATGTCACGGATACGCCGCAGGAGTTGGCCAGACTGCACATCACCACCAGCAGCGGAGCGACATAGTCGTCCTCACCCTCCTCGTTTGCTTCGAGTGGTGGCAGCATGGACGGCTGCCTACCGAAGACGACGCTGCATGGCGTAACGCCGCCGCCCGCGTGCGCGAGGCTGTTGCCAACGAAGATGGCACGGGCCAACATAAAGCCGAACTTGGCGGTAATGTTTGCGCGTTCCAAATGCTCCTCGGCGGCGTGTAGCGCGTGTCGTAGCA